GGAGGCACCGAAGCATCCCTGGCCTGTATCACTTTGCACATCCTTGCACCAGCTACAGACCAGGAATTTTCTCACATATGTAAAGATCCTCATCATGGGAGATGAGAGAATAAATACTTAGAATAAAAAATAGCACTTTAGCTCCTTGTCTCCTGGTTACCTGGCAATGAAAGCAGCAGGATACAGCCCAGGCCCAGAATTATCCAGCCATTAGATTGGATGTTGCACCAACTGATTTTATTGTTGCTGAATTAAAAAGGCTCGAGGTCAATACCAAATGCATTTCCAATTCCCCTTAAAGAAAAGCCCTGCCAATAAGCAAAGGATTTCCTTTTTTATAAGGAGATTATTCAGCCAAGAATCTGATGATGAAAGATTAGTTTTATTCCAGTGCTGAGCCTCCCTGTAAAACCACAGTGGGTCTGACAACGAGTGAACGCCGAGAGCTGTAAAAAAACCTTTGCTCCCTGATATTCTCCTAAAAATCAACTCTTTTTAAAGCTAAACCCTGTGAGCTGGGCTGGAGACTGACTGTGAGAAAGGTTAATGCAATTAATGGAGGGCTAATGACATCAGCCAGCCAGAGAAGCCACCTCTAAATCCCGAACCACCCAGCAATGACCTTTTCCCAACAAAACCCCATTTCCCGGGAGCTGGTGGCGGGAGCAGAAGGACCAGTGTGGGCAGAGATGATGCTTAAAATGAAACAGAGCTCGGGAGGTGACTGAGACAGGGGACACTGAGGCCCAGCTGAGCCAGAGGAGCAGAATCCAGGTTGTTCCAAAGCCTTGGAGGAGCCGCCGTGTCCCGGCTGCCGTCGCTCGTGGGGTGGAAGCAGCAGTGCCTGGATCCCACTGAGCCTCCTGCACTGTCTGGAGCTGCTGGAATTAATTAGCACCAATTAACTGGTGGAAACAACTCGCTTGGAGCTGTGAACTGGGACAGCTGGAGGAGGTAGGGCGGGAAGGGAAAGGCTGGGAGGCTCCCGGGGCCTGATCCTGAGGATGGAGGGGTCCGGATTTTCCGTGTTGTGGTAAATCCCAGCACCCCCCAAACCCCAAATGCTGCTGAGGGGAGATCAGAAATGTTGGGAAAGGGGCTGGGATCCCCTCTGGGGAGCAGGGAAAGCGGTGGGAGCCAGTGCAGCCCCTCAGCTGAGCCCTTGCCAGGCAGAGGTGGGATCCTAGGGGAATCTGGTGGGATTTTGGAATGGTGGGGAAGCTGCAGCAGTGGCCCTGCCAAACATGGGGCAATTCCCTGCCCTGAGGGAATTCCTGTGCCATGGCCAGGATAACAGCTCACCTTGTTCCCCCAGTACAGCACAGCAACTCCAAATCACCCAGTTTGGGGCAGACTGGAGAGCAGTTGATTATAATTCGGATCCAAATTAAGGCAGTGACAGATCTCAGGGGTTTGGTGACTGGGGTTTGGCTCTGAAGGTCTGTTGGGACCCCAGACTGAACTTGCCCTCCAGGGGCGCTTGGATGGGGCTTAACTGGGGTTGTGCTCCTGTGATCCTCCTGCAGCTCCCAGGAAAGGGAGATGCTCCTGGAAAAGGGAGATGTTCAGCACCTGCAAAGGGTGAAAGGAGTAAAAATCTGCTGGCACAGTGCAGGATCCATGTCTTGTGTCCTGGCCTCTTCCAGCTGGAGCTGCCTCTCCATCAGCACCAGAGATCCCTGCAAACCCACCAGCACCAGAGATCCTGCACCCCCATCAACACCAGATATTCCTGCTTCTCCATCAGCACCAGAAATCCCTGCTTCTCCATCAACACCAGATATTCCTGCTTCTCCATCAACACCAGATATTCCTGCACCTCTGTCAGCTCCATCAGCAGCATTCCTGCAGCCTGCATCCGTGGAGAGGATGGAGTGGTCCCCAAGCTCTCTGGAATATGTCTCCCAAGGCCCAGGAGGATGCCTATGGGATGGCTGCCGGGAATACTCCAGAGGGACTGGGTCCGTGCGGCCCCATTCCCTGCACGGAGCTGTGGAGCAGGGCCCTGGCTGGAGGGAGCCAGGATTTCCCACTGGAAGAAGTGTCCCGGGTGACGGTGAGAGCGGATCCCGGTGGGATTCCGCCTCGTGGAGCGGAGCATCCATGGTGGGCGTGGGGCTCGGCGGGCGCCAGGAGCGCGCTGGGGGTGGCTTGGGCTCCCTCTCCTGGCTCTGCCGGGATAAAACTGCGCGTAAATCCTTGGGAATGGGAAGCTCGCAAACCCGCGAGCTCCCGCCGGCTGCAGGGAATGGCGCGGGGAGAGGAGGCAGGACAGTGGGGACCCGGGGGACACACGTGGCAGCGTGGATCCCTTGGGATGAGCCCAACTCCTGCGGAACACGGGCGGGAGGATGCGCGGGAATCTGAGCCGGGTTTAAGAACCAAAACCCTTCCAAACCCGGGCTGGGGGGGGGTCCCCTGTGCCCCCTCACCTCCCACCTCGCAGCACCCAGAGCCCACGCGTGGACAAGGGCTGTGTTTCCCACATCCCTCATCCCACCCCTCTGTTGTCCGTGTCCCATTTCCTGGTGCTGCCGAGCGGGAGGAAGGAGCTGCTGCCTGGGTGGACCCAAGGAATTAAAGCAAGTCATCGGGAATGCTGGATCCTGCCGGGCTGGCAGGGGCTGTGGGAAGAGCAGAGCTCGTGGGCTCCGTGTCCAGGAGATTTGGGACACGGGGAGCTGCAGACACACGGCTCCAGCACAAGGAATGCTCCTGGGAGAGAGATTGCCCAACCCATCCCGAATCCAAGCTGGAGAGACTTCATATGGCCCAACCCATCCCAAATCTGAGCTGCAGAGGCTTCATCACCCCCTTACTCACCGCTTGGCTCCCTGAGCTCCGAGGCTGAGCTGGTTACACCAGTTTAACCCTTCACTTGATGCAACTCTTGGGAAGACACATTTTACTGCCCCTGGCTGGGCTCCTGAAGAACAATATTGTGGAGAGCAACAACGAGGCCCTGCTGAGGCCCAGAGAACCCTGGGCTGGGATGGCTCATCAGCAGTGCTGGCCAAGGCACTTGCTCCAAGGCCATGATGGTTTGCTCTGGGGATGCAGCTCAGGCCCCAAATCTCCTGCTGCAGGGGCCTGTCTGGACAGCTGGGAGGTGGGAATGCTCCGTGCCTGGGGCTGGCTGGGCTGTGTCAGCACCACAGGGCTGCAGGGACCAGCCATGGCCACAGTGCCACCAGCTGAGGTGGTCCCAGTGCTCCAGGGGGGATGGTCCCACTGTTGCCTTCAGGTGTGGTGACCCCAGTGATGCCATTGGATGTGGTTATCCCAATGTTTCCTTCAGATGTGGTTATCCATTGGACATGGTGGTCCCAGTGCTGCCACTGGATTTGGTGGTCCCAGTGCTGCCAGTGTGGACAGGGTGGCCCCAGTGCTGCCATGCCAGGTGGTGCTCCTGAGGCTGCCCCCAGAGGCAGGAGGAACAGCTCCTCGTGTCCTCCAGGCCCTGCTCTCCCTCAGTGCCACCCTTCCCTCTGAAATTAAGGATCTGTGCTCCTCCCTCGGCAGAACTTGATTCCCAGGGACAGATCCCCTGAGCTGCTCCCTGGGCCCATCCAGGCTGGTCCCCCCTCGGACACTCCTGTCCCTGCCCTGCTGCACTGGGGTGGCCAGAGCCGAGCATGGAGTTTGCTCTGGCCAAAATTCCAGAGCCATAAATCCAGTGTGGATCCTCCTCCCGGCCTGGGCACGGCAGAGAGTCCTGGATTATCCCAGAGTAACTCCAGCTGCGAATTATACAGAGGTTCATGTTTGGATTTCATGGCAGATAATTTATAGGGAAGTCCAGGGACAGATTTTCATCCTCTTTGATGAAGGTTCATCTGGAACAACAATACGTGGTAGGACCTGGCTCTGGACCTCGCTGACAACCCAAACCCTGCGACTGGAGAGCAAGATGTTTCCACTTCAAAACAGTGTCAGCAAGAAACGTCTCCCTCTCCCTCTCCCTGCCTCTCCTGCTCGTCCCTCTGCCATCATCTGGTTCCCATTAGCCCTGGCCCAGGTCCCGTTCTGCTCAGGGAAACAGGAGGGGACTTGGAGCCACTTCTACTCACTCCAAGTATGAATTGAATGCGGTGCACAAACGAAAATGCAACGAGATCCAACGTGTGAAGGGAACCGGAGCCACGGCAGCTCCTGCCGGTGGAAAATCACTTCCAAGGGCACGGGAGACGGAGGGTGGGAGCTGAGATTCTCACCTCCTAGCAGTGCCCGAGCCCCAGGTGACCAGCAGGACTGGCAGCAGTGACCCCTGCTGAGGGGGGAGTGTGGGTTTGGGGGACAAGCCCAGCTTGGTTAGGCTGGCTCAGTGCCACCCTGGGGCTCCTCCACACTCACTGGGACCCAAATTTCTCTCCTGGCATCCATCATCTCCTCCCTCCAGCAGGAAGCTGCTGTTTTCTCCAGCAAGGAGCAGGGAGAGCCTTCCTCCCTCACCTCCCCACAGAGGGTGCCAGCAGCTCCACGAGCCAGCCGGGAGCAGAGCCCTCCTCCCACGAGTGGGAAAAGCTATTCCCAAGAAAAACCAAGCAAGAGGGAGCCTCTCAACACCAGCCACTCCAATCCAGCCCCTTCTTGTGGCTTGTTGTTTACACAGCTCCTGTTTGGAGCCAGCCCTTGCTGGAGCTGCTAATTTGATAGGATGGGATGGATGGGAATTGCTTGGGAAAGGAGGAGGGAGAGGGAACAGCCACCACGTCACAGGCTGGAGCAAGGCAAGAGAGTCTGTGTGAAGAGATGGTTAGATTTTGGAGCTGGTGTGTTTTGGGGAGATAAAGAGATAAATATTGTGGTTTTAAGTGTTGCAGGCCAGGTTGGGCGAGGCTTGGGGCAACCTGGGCTAGTGGGAGGTGCCCCTGCCCATGGAGAGGGGGTGGGATAAGAGGAGCTTTAAGATCCCTTCCAGCCCAAAGTGTTCCTTGATTTCTACGATCTGTGTATAAACACAAATATTTGTATTGTGTCTATTCCAGCTTCCTCATTTTCTGCCCATTCAGATTTTTTCGGTGGGAAAGCAGAGGGAGGAGCATCAGATGGTGTGGGAAGAGAAGCCTGGGGTGGCTCTGCTGGAAGAAGAGGAACCTGTGGGATCCCAGGGCAGCTCTGACCCTAAACCCAGGTTTAAATGAGTGATAAGTGGGAGAATCCAAGGTGATTATAGCAATCCTTTGGCATGCAGCTGGACTGAGGTGAGCAGCCTCAGTGTGTGGGTGGCTCTGTCCCGTCCCCGTCCCCCAAAGCCAACGTGTCCCCCCTCATCCTCCATCCCCAGGGTGAGTGGGGCTCCCACCACGGGCTGAGTGTTATGGTAACCCCCTGCATCCTCCTGCAAAATTCCTCTCTGCTTCCAGTGCCAATGGATAAAGCACAAGGGACCAGAGGGACAAACTAGGACAAATTATTGGGTTAAAACCACGTGCCGAGGTGCAGGTTTATGGGGGATGTTCCCAACCTGGCAGTATTTGGGTACTGTGGACCCTACAAGCTGTAGATGCCTCTCAGAAGGTTCCCAGAGCCTTAAATACTGTCCCCTTTGCAGAGAGGTGCTGGATGGTCACAGGGAAGAGCAGCAGAAGGGATGGGGTGGTGCAGTGTGGAGTCTCCTGGCAGGGATCCCAGTTGAGCCTCTGGATCATTTTCCATCCCTACCCAGCCTGGGGCTTCCTGGCTGAGCCACCACTGCCCAGACAGGTGTGGATATGGCTTTCTGTTGAAATGGAGCCCAGATTTAAGGCTGCACCACGTCCCATCTGCTGGGGAAAGCACAAACTGAATATGGAAAGCTGGAGGATCCTGTGGCAGGTCGGAAAGTGGCCGGACTGGGGCATGGAAACGGGGCTCTGTTGGAAGCAGAGCATCCTGGCAGGAGTCCTGGGTGCTGGGAAGCCAGCCCAGGGAATTTAAGAAGGGTTTTCCATGGTTGGATCTGTTGTCAGATGGATGTGTTTGGCAGTTGCCTCCCACATGCATTTTAAAGGCAAACCTGACACTTTTGGCCCATTTGCTCTTTTTCCCCTCCCGGCACGAGCAGCCCCAAAACCCCCCCCTGGGCTCAGGGGCACCCCTGGGGTGGGCAGAGTGACCAGGGCCCCTCAGTCTCTCCTGCTGACCCTCAGGATCCACCCCAGCATTTTGGGGGCTGATCCCAGAACTCACTGCAGCATTTTCTGGGGGCTGATCCCATGATCCACCCATAATTTTGGGAGGCTGATCCCAGAGCTCATCCCAGCATTTTGGGGGCTGATCCCAGAGCTCATCCCAGTATTTTGGGGGCTGATCCCAAGCTCCACCTCAGCATTTTCTGGCATCACACAGAGACCTGCAGGACTGGGGGGCTGCCCAGGGGCCCCAGGGTGGGCTCACTGTCCCCCCCCAGGGTGTCCCCACACTGTCCCCAGCCCCACCAGCCCCAAGGAACATGGAAGCCCCATTCCAAGCCCTCCAGGCTGTGCAGTGCTCTGGGTTTGTTGGCCAGACAACACTTCACACCCCCAAAATAACCATTTCTGAGCACAGCTGCCAACAGCCCTGTTGGTTTTCCAAACACGGGCTGTTCCTGTCCAGGAGGGACAGATTTTGGCCCTCCTTTCTGCAGCTCCATGGCCCAGCCAGGGAATGAGGGACAGGGACCCTTCCAGGACAACACCTGGAGAAGGTCCATGAGCTCCCACCTCTCCTGGTAGATTTTTTGAGAGGCTCTTTGACCCTCCCACGGGGCCAGAAGCTCTCCCAGCCCACCCACCCACCCACATTGCACATGTTTTGTGCAGGTCTGGGTTGACTTTCTGGCAAACATCAGCCAGGTCCTGTTGGAAATGTGGGTTTTGAGCTGGGGATGGACCTGCTTCCAGGGGGTGGCTCAGGCTGGGAGCACAGCAGGCTTGTGAGGCCAAACACTGCTGGAAAAATGCCTCTTGCTGCCACTTTGCTCTGCTTTTGTCCCTGATTCTCCTTCCCTGCCCATTTCCATCACCTCCCACCACAGGGACAAAGCCCATGGGAGAGCCCAGACAGGGAGGTTTTGTTGGAATGTCATGAGTTGTGTCCACCTGGGGCTGATCCAGGTTTTGTCTGGAGCCCCAAATCCTGCCCTGTCCCAGGGATGCCCCAGGCAGGGCCCTTCCATCCCTCTGTCCCTGCCCAGGGGGGCTCAGGGACCATCCCTGGGGCTCCGTTTTTGGGGTGGGGTCAGCTGTGAGTGCAAAGGTAAATGAGCTCGTTAGGCTCCAACTGCTAATTAGAATCAGGCTCCAACTGCTGATTAGAATCCTTTGCTTAGAAGGGTTGGTGCTGTAAGGAGTTGGGGTGTCTTACAGCTCTCCTGGAGTTGGAATCTGTCCTGGAGAGACCCCCCAAAGTTGTTCTGCCCATTTTTCCACATCAGAGAAGTTTCATCCCAGCTGGATCTGTGTCTCTGTGGGAAGGAGGTTCTGCTGGAGGACTCTCCCCGTGCCTGGAGAACCCCTGTGTGCCCTCCTGGGAGGTCTGTCCCTCAAACAAAGGGTGAGTCCTGCTCTCCTGGGCATTTTCTGGGAGGGGGGGCCCAAGGGCTGTGACAGGGAGTGAATTCCATGGAAAAAGATCACTCAATTCTTGGTGTGTAAATGAGCTTTGGCTTCGAAGAGTCAGGTCCCTTCCAGTCCTTAAAAGGGGGTTATAAAACAGGGATGAAACAGTGGATGGTGTTAGGACAAGGAGGAATGGTTGGGAAATGGAAGGTGTGAGGTTTAGATGAAAACTTGGGAAAAAAAATCCTTCCCTGTGGGGGTGGGGAGGCCCTGGCACAGGTTGCCCAGAGGGGTTGTGGATTCCCCATCCCTGGAAGTGTCCAAGGCCAAGTTGGATGAACTTGGAGCAACCTGGGCTGGTGGAAGGAGTCCCTGGGTCGGCACAGAAGGAATTCCCAGGATTTCCTTTCCAGTGAGTCCCCCAGGGAGGAGCAGGTAGGGGGGGCAGAACATTCATTTTTTTATGTATTACATATTTTCCTGTGGGGAAAAAAAAAACAACCCTTGGGTAAAGCAGTAGCAACGTTGGTTTTATCTGTCTGAGGATGTGCACACACGGAGGAAAGAGGGAGCTGAAGGGGCAAAACATGGGAATCTGGGGGCTGGGGGCCTCCCCAGGTGCTTTAGGGGGGCAGTTGTGCTGATAACTGGGTGTTGTCTGTGTGGCTGCAGCGGGGGCTGTGTTAGGGGGTCCTGGATTGGGATGTGAATCCTAAATCCTGAACAGCTTCCCAGCAGTGCAGTGGATGTTCAGGGGCTCTGGGGCACGGCCTGCCTGCCCTGCACGGGGAGTTTTGGGGAATGAAAACAGGGATTTAATCCTAATCCTGAGCCATCCTTTGCAGGGGGGGTTGGAAAAAGCTGGTTCTCCAAAGCCCTGACTGCTGCCTCCTTCACCCAGCCCCGAGCAAGGAGGGAAATAAAACACCTGGAGAAAGAGAAAATCCACTCCCTTGGGTTCCAGAGCAGCCCCAAAATGCCAGAAATATCTGCAATTTTTTTTTTTTTTGAGGTGTCCCAGCTTTTCTTTGTCTCCCCATTTTGGGGTGGTCTGGCTGCCAAACCAGGGGCTGCATCAAAGCCCTTCCCAGTCTCTCCAGACCCTCTTAGCACCGGGAAAGGTGATGAAAAGGGGCTGTGGAAAAGGGTGTGAAGTGAAAAACGCCATAAAATATTCCCCTGCCATAAATCCCTGCAGCTGAAACGGGGGCTGGGACTGGCTGCCAAGGGCCCGAGAGGAGAAACAACTCCAGCAGTGCTGATTTGGTTCTTTTTTTATTTTTTTTTTTATTTATTTTCCAGCAGGGGGATGATTTAGAGCCCCCCTGAATGGTTTTCAGGTGGGAATAGATAGCACAGAAACACCAAAGGAGAGGAATAGGTTTGCTTCCATAAATCCCTTCACAATCCATCGGGCTCCAGAGTCACACAGGCTTGGCCAGGAGGGGTTTTTTACATGACAGGAGAGTGGAAAAGAAGTTGAAATAGTGATTTTTGCAGCCTGTGGTGATGGGTCTAGCAGGGCTTGGGGCTGGAGGGATCCAGGGGGTCCATGGAGGGAACTGGGGGATAAAACATCCAAGCAAGGGCTGGATGGTGCTTTGATCCCTCTGTTGGGGGGTGGGATTGGGATCTGGGGGAAGGCTTCTCAGCCTTTGGCCCAGGAAGCAGCTCTGGTGTTTCTGCTGCAGAACTGACCCACAGGGACCTTCTCCCTGGGGTGGGTGTCCCATCCAGGCAGGGCTTTATAAAGCCAGGCTTAGCTTGGACCTCCTCCCTGGGGCTGAGGGTGTTTCTTCTAAGCAGGGATTTATAAATCCAAATTTACCTTGGACCTTCTCTCTTTGGTTGGTATCCCACACAAGCAGGGATTTATAAAGCCAGGCTTAGCCTGCTCCCTGATTCCCTGCAGCCTCCAACCAGCATTTGTGTGACATTCCCAATGGTGTTGAGGAAAAAAAAGCACCTTTTAAAGGACCTGGGAAGTCCCTGGAGCAGGGGGTGAAGTGTCCAGAGGTTTCATGACGTCATTTGAGGGTTTTGTTTTCCCCCTTCTCTGACAATAAACAGGGAGATTTGGGCCTGGCTTCCCTTTCCCTGAGCACCTGCACCACTTCCAGCAGGGGAAAAACATGTGTTTTCCCAGCAGTCTGGCCTGGAGGAAAACGGCTGCAAAGTGACGTATTTTTCTAGTTACAGTTTGCAAAACTGTATTTATTTATTTATGATTTTTTTCCCCTCCTAAATTACTAAATGTAACCTCCTGGAGCCAAGAGTGGGATGGTTCCTGCTCCAGGGTGGGATGGAGCAGCTGTGGAGGAGCAGGAGGAAGGGGAAAGTCTGGTTTAATGTGGGTTGTGGGTGGGGAAAGTTGTCTTTATTCGGCACCAGCTCAATTAAAGGGAAGCAAAGGGGATTCTTGTGACTTCTCACTTTGAGCTGAGGGTCCCTCCTGGCCCATCCCGCTGGAAAAAAAGCTGTCTGGAAAGCAAAGGGCATGGAAATAATCAAAGCTGCAAGTTTATAGGATGTTTTCAAGCTTTTTAAAATCTCGAATTACCAAAAGATGTCGAGAGCTGTAAAAACAAAAAACCCACAGCGTTGCACCGAGAAGGGAGAGAAAGCTGGGATGGGAGAAGGGACAGATGAGGATGTGGGGCACTGATTCCTTGGGATTTGGGAGCTCTGGCAACTGGGATTTGCTGATCAGAACCTCAAGTTGTTGTTCAGATGAGGCCCCAAGCTGGGATGCTCCTCTGGGCTCCACTCCGGGTGTCCTCCCATCCTGATGCTGGAAAAGGTGTCTTTATCCATCACACTTGACTCCAGCACAAGTGTGGGATGCAGCTGGCACAGGAACACCCACTGGATTGTCCACTGGAAGATGTGCAAAGTGCTTCCTGGCAGATGGATTTGGGTTGGGAAGGGGCTGGTTTATCACAGGACTCTCAGGAATGCAGAGATTTTCCGAACTAGGAAAGCAAAGCAGGAATCCTGTTTGCATCCCTCTGATTCCCTTCTGATCCACAAATCCCTCTGGGATGGGTTTTACCCGTGGTGAGGAGCACTAGGGATGCCCGTGCCCACCCCTAAATCACACTCCCAAATGCCACATCCACTTCTAAATCCCTCCAGGAATGGTGACTCCCCCACTGCCCTGAGCAGCCTCTTCCGAGGCTGGACGGCCCTTTCCATGTGGAAATTTTTCCTGATATCCAATCTAAACCTCCCCTGGTGCAACTCGAGGCTGTTTCCTCTTGGTGCTGGGGTTTAGTTTGATTTTAGGGAGGTGGGCAGCCCTGGGATTAATTTATCCCTGCTCTGTTCCTAATCCATCCCAGGCCCTGGGCTGGCTGGGGCAGGGAAACATCTTTATCCTGTTACAAGCCAGGGCAGGTTTCTTCCTGGTTCTGCATCCTTCCCATGAGCTGGAATTCCTGGGACACTGCCTGCTGGAATAGCCCCTTCCCCATCCTGCTCCTGCCTGGCACTGGGAGCATCACTGGGAATGGTGATCCCAAAACAGGAGAGGATACAGGACCACCAGGCTTTGCAGCCCCCCCGGCCACAGCACGAGCCACAGCTTGGAAAAGCAGGATAAAGCTAAAATAACACGTGGGAAGAGGTGGGAAAAGCCAGGGAAAACTAGTTTGGAAGTTTGAATTAGGCAGAAGAAAGGAGGGTGAGGGGACTTCTTCCCTGCAGCTTCCATAGCCAAGGGGTGACTCTTCCTCCATCCCATTCCATGGCAAAAGCCATGGAAGCAGCCAAAATCCAAGGAAAAGGCTTAGCAGTGCTTTTATGTGAATTTAAGTAGCTGATGGAGTCAAACCCTCAGTGAATTCCCAGCTGGAAGCAGGAGGGAGCTCTGATGCTCCTGTGGTTTCAAAGGAATCTTGTCCCTGGGACACCCCAGGGCTGGTTCATGGAAAGGAGGGAGGAAAATAAACCACCTGCTCGTTGGGATAACAAGTTCCTCAGCCTGCAGTATTTCCCTGTGGATCAGCATCCAGCAGGAATTTGTCTGGGTGGTGGGAGCCAAGCCGGGGCTGCAGCATTAAATCCCTTCACACTTCCCTTTTTTCCATTCCGTTGGATGCCTCGGGGTGGCATTTCCTGCCCTGCAGACGGGGCTGCTCCTGGCACAGCTGCCAGCACAGGCAGCCAAGGGACAGGGAGCAGCAGGAGCAGGTTCTCTGGGAAGAACTGGCTTTATTTTTGGGATGTTTTCGACCCTTTTTTCCCAGAAAAGAAGCAATAATGTGAGAATGTGCTGGCACCCAGCTCAGGTCTCACTGACAAAGAAAGCACCTTCTCTGGGCTGATCTCCACCTGAAAACCCAACTGCCAGATTCGGTAGAAACAGGGAATTTTTTTGGACACGAGGAGGAATTTTTTCATGGTAGATGGGTTTTGGCAGGAGCTGCCCAGGGAGGTTTGGAGTGCCCAGCCCTGGAGGTGTCCCAGGAAGGCCTGGCCGTGGCACTCAGTGCTCTGGGCTGGGGGACAGGGTGGGCATCGGGCACAGGGGGATCCATCATCCTGGGGCCTTTTCCACCCTCAGTGACTCCATGGATTTTGTGCTGACTCCAATACCAAACCTAAAGAGGGGCAGGTGGAAGGAGGTTATTCCTTAAGGATGAAGCTTTTTCCCTGCCTTGCTCTGCTGTCCCCAACCCCCAGTGGGTGGGGGCCAGTGTGCTGTGTCCAAGATCCAAACCCATCCCTTCTGCTCTCAGGGGAGCCTGATCTAGTTTTTGATAGATTTTTAAATATTGTTTATATTTTTATTTTATATGTTTATGATATTTTATTATATTTTATTATATTGTGTTATTATATATTTTTATTTTATTATATTTTTATTTTATTATATTTTTATTTTATTATATTTTTATTTTATTATATTTTTATTTTATTATATTTTTATTTTATTATATTTTTATTTTATTATATTTTTGTATATTTTATTACATCATTATATATTTCATATTATTATATATTTTATTATATTATTTTTATATTTTTATAGTTATATTTTTATTTGTTATTGTTATTTTTATTGGGTTTTTTATTTTTATTGTTATTTTTTATTTTTTATTGTTATTTTTTATTTTCATTTTTTATTTTATATTTTCATTTTTATTTTTTATTTTCATTTTTATTTTTATTGTTATTTATTTTTTATTGTTATTTTTATTTTGTATTGTTTTTTATTTTTATTGTTATTTTTTATTTTTTATTGATATTTTTTATTTGTTATTGTTATTTTTATTGGGTTTTTTATTGTTATATTGTTATTTTTATTACTATATTGTTATTTTTTATATATTATGGTTTTTATATATTTATTATATTTTTTTATTGTATTTTTAACCCTGTTAAACATCATCATTGGCAACACAAGTGTGCGCTGAGCTCAAACCTCCAGGGTTTTGGCAAGGACAGGGAGGGACAGGATGAGTGGAAATGGTTTTAAGCTGAAGCAGGGCAGGGTTAGATGGGATATTGGGAAGGAATTCCTGGTTGTGAGGGTGGGGAGCCCCTGGAATAGAATTCCCAGAGAAGCTGTGGCTGCCCCATCCCTGGAAGTGTCCAAGGCCAGGTTGGACGGGGCTTGGAGCAACCTGGGCTGTGGGAGGTTTGGGGCTGGAATGGGATGAGCTTTAAGGTCCCTTCCCATCCAATTCTAGGATTCCAGGAATCCCAGGTCAAGGGATCAGCCATCACTCTGCCAAGGCAGAGGGAATTCCCTGGACTGCCAGCCTGGCACGGGAATGCCCCTGGCACTGGCGTGGGCAGGGCACAGGGACACTCCCCCTCCATGGGATCACCCGGCCAGGAATGGCCTTACCAGAGCATGGGCAGCAGAGCAGAGCCCTCTCCAAACACCTGGAATGTGTTAAATCCGTCTCCAGAGTCTAAAAATGGCTCATCCTTCCTTTTTTTTAGAGAGGGCCTGCTAGAAAGTGCCAGCACTGAGTGCTCCTGGAGCCAGGTGGGAGCAGAGCCGGGGATCAGGAATTGCTGCCCGCTGGATTTCGGGGTTGGAAAGGCACTTGAGCTGCTTGGAGAAGGGTTTTGTGGCAATGAAAAGGATGTTATAGTGACCCAAGTGTGTTTTGGAGTGGGGAATGTGCTTATATTCTGCAGTGAAATGACCAAAAATATTCAATTCCTAACCTGCATCCAGAGGAGCAAAATTCCCAATAAGGAGATGCCGGCACTGGGCTCATCCTTTGGATGCTGCTGGTCTGGAGGGAGGGATGGGAGCTGGAGGGGAGCAGGGAGGAGGAGCTGCTGGGACTTGTCACGGTGATCTTTGGCATCAAGAGGATTTTCAGGTCAAATTTATATCCCCTTTTCCTGAAGGTTTTGAACCCCCTTGGTGTAAAAATCCCAGAATCATTGAGGTTGGAAAAGACCTCCCAGCCCATGGATGCCCACCTTGTCACTGAGTGCCACGGCCAGGCCTTCCCTGGACACCTCCAGGGCTGGGCACTCCAAACCTCCCTGGGCAGCCCCTGCCAAGGCCTGACTACCCTTTCCAGGGAGAAATTCCTCCTCGTGTCCAAAAAGTCCAGGGCACCATCAGCCGGATTTTTTTTCTTCTTCCCCCTCCATCAACGCAATTCCCACCCTGGCAGATCCTTGGAAGCACAGGGTGGTGCCAGTGCTATCCCTTCTCTAATTCCTGGGGATTAGACACATGGTGTGTCCGAGCAGAAGGTCCTTGGGGATGGATCCATCAATCCCTCCCAGCTCTGCCCCCCTTTTCACACACCAGCAGGAAGAGCAAGGCTGAAAATCTTTTTTTTTTTCTTTTCCTTCAGGTTTTATGCCCAGAGTCACTTTTCCCATTGCATATTTTCCCCTGCAGGAGGTTGAGCAGTGAATTAATCCAGCTCTCCTCTGATCCTGGGGTTTTTGGGGGCTGCCAACTGCCCAGGGCCAGTTTGGCACCTTCTCTGACAAACCGAGGGTGAAATGGTTTTACCACCTGTGTTCAGAGCTTGGCTCTCCTGTGTCACCTCAGCAGAACAAAGTGCAAAGATCCCACTCCTCCATCCCAAACTAGAATTCCAATTGCACAGGGATTGCCTCCAGGCAGGAGGAATTGCTCCAGGAGGGAGCAGAGACCTGGGATGAGCTGGACATTAAGCAATATTCACAATAGCTCAGAAAAGTTGCATTAAATGTTTTTGGGTTTTTTTTTTCCTACAGTTCCCCAGGGAAAAGATTCTGGATTTATTGGGGAATAATTTACTTCCACTTTCTTGGTGTGAGAGGGGGTTAAGTGATGCAGGGTCTTTCCCAGGGATTATTCCCAGGGATCCAGCCAGCTCTTCTTTTAGAGGGAAAAACCCCAAGCACGTGATTTATTTTTTTTTTTTTTTGGATCCCAAGATCCAGACTGTGGTACCTGGGAACTGGTCTAGACAGTGAGTGCCACAGGTCAGACCAGGAATCCTGCCCACAGTTATCCAGCACGAGCTGAGGATCCCAAGGGATTCTTCCTAATAACTCATTATCCAGGAAGGGTGGGGGTTTGTTAATTCAGACTAAGAAATAAAGAGGGGGAGACTGAAAAAATAGGCAAAAAATTAATGCTGGCTAAATAAACAAAGAAATTCCCAGGTTGGAAACGCTTCCACAGTGAGAGGGCTGTAAATAGGGAATCAGGAGCAGGAGTGGATTGTAGGGACACTGGGACACCTGGGGAGCCTTGGATTGGGGGAAAAAGGGAGGAGAGGCCTTAAATAGGGGGGGACACCCCATCCCTGCAGCTCCTGCTCCTCCTCTGCCATTCCCTGCCTTTCCCTGGGGTCCTGTGGCTCTGGAGATCCTCGAGGAGGGGTTGGAATGTGCTCCCCAAAGCTGCTTTTGGGGGGTAAAATCCCCTGCTTGGGGGTGAAGGGTCGTGGCTGTGCCAACACAGCCACAAACATCCCACAGGGAACATCTCAGCTGGTGGGTTTGGGGTGTGTTTTTGTAAAAAAATATAATCTGGGGGGGTTTTTGCCACCAAGCTCAGCCCTGAGCCCCCTCAGAGCCAGCCCCTCACGAGGTTGGTGGCAGGGAAGGGGAGCAGAGAAGCACTTTGGCTTGGTTAATAAATAAATGCAACTTCTGCTAATTGAGTGCTGGGAGCCGAGGGCCAAAGTTCTTCCAAACACAGCAGAGGTGCCAAGTCTCCACTTTCCAGAGGTTAAATTACTTCCTTCTTTTTTTTTTTTTTGGGGGGGGGGGGGAAGACCAAAAGGCAAAGCCAGTGGGTCTCTGGAGCTCCTCTTCCCTAGAGGAGTTTCTCTGAGGTTGGTGGAGGTTTTATCCCCTGCTGTCGTGTCTGGAGCCGGGTGTTGGCTGTGGCTGTGCCAGCCTTGGTTTTCCTGGAGAAGGGGGTGGATGGGAGTGTCCCTGTGCCTGCCTGGGATGGCAAGGGCAGGTGCAGGATGCTCAGAGCAGGGAGGCAGATGTTGGACATCACCCTTGGACATAATTTGGGATTTTCCTGGTCCCTGTGGGTGCTGATTCAGGCCCCTCCATGGAATGGAAGGTGTCCCTGGAATGGAATTAGATGATCTTTAAGGTCTCTCCCAGCCCAAACCAATGTGGGATTCTGTGATTTCTTTTTTTATCTCCCTTTCCTGTTCTCCTGCTGCTTCCCCAGACCCAGAGTGATCCCAGCTGGCACTTTGCTCTGGTCCCAAGCGCTGGGAGAATCCCAGGACACAGGAATAACCCTGGAGCATCCCGAGGTGGGACACTCTGGGTCACTGCAGGCTCGTGCTGGGGCAGACAGGCTGTGGCCTGGCCAGGGGCAGAGCTGGGGCTCTGCAGAGCCTGCTTGGCTGTTTTTCCAGCAGCTTTTGTTTTGGACAAGCAAGTCTCCAGAGCTCTGAGCTCAGCAGAGCCGGCATGGCCAGGAGTGAGGATGAGCCACGTGCTCCAGGCAACAGCTTGGAGCTGCTCCCTGTCACCAGGGGAGAACAAATCCTCCTCCAGACCCGGGTTTGGAGTGGTGTTTGGTGCTCCTGAGCACCCAACCTGCATCCCTCCTTCCCTAAAAGGTGGGAGAAGCCCCCTGGGAGCACTCCAGCCCCTCCAGAGCCAGGAGCAGCTCCCACATCACCATCAGCTCTTCCTCCGTTTGTCTCGGGGAATTCAGAATTTTGTTTTCATTCCTGGCCTCTGTTTACATTCCTTGTTTCTAACTTAATTCTTCTAAAACTCCAGAGGCAGAAGCATCCAACGCATGACACCCTCTCCGAAGGTCAGGCTCGAGGAGGCATCTGCTGGAGGTTGGAAAAACTGAGCAGACGTGGGAAAACCTACAGGGAAGTGCTGGGCTGACCTCGGGATGGAGGGCAGGGAGCTCATGTGAGCCTTGGAGGCTTCAGGCTGGGATTTGGATGCAGGGATGGAAGTTCTAGTGGGTGTCATCCCTGCTCCTGGCGGGGGGGGGGGTGGGGTGGTTGGAACCAGATCTTTAAAATCCCTCCCAACCCAAACAATTCTGGGATTCTATGACTAATTTACAGTTATTCCCAGGCTTTTCCACCTCAGCAGTGGACAAAGGCTTGTTCCTGGTCCATCCCTGGAGCACAAGGTCACCCCCACAGCAGCTGCAAGGCCGTGGTCAGTGAAGCTTTTCTCCTCATCCAGATTTCATAAGAAGTCCATCCAAGGATGTTAATTTGGAAGACACAAGATCTTCCCTTTGGGAATGGCTGTTAATTCCATGATTATTTCTGCAGCCATCTGAACTCGCTGCCCTTTGTGGAAAGCATCCCTGCCTCTTCTCTCCTTGCTTTTGACCACTTGTGATGGAATTTGCAGGAAATGCTGATGGTTGGGAAGGTAAAAACCTTTCCCAGGGCTCAGGTGCAGCTCCTGGGTTTTGTCCTGCTGGAGGGATGGGGTGGATTAAGCCCAGTGGGCTTGGACACAGAGCATGGATCATCTCCAAGGTGCACAAGCCTTAGTTTGCACCGACACTTTCCTTGGAAACTCTCAGGTTTGCAGAGAAAATAAGAGGGTTTTTTAATCACAAACATCAGACATCTGAGCCACGAGCAGAAACTTTCCTGGGGAGCCAGAATCTGTCAGGGTTGGAAGCTGAGAGCTGCTGTTCCCCTCCAAAAGCTGCTGCTTTGCTCTCTTTGCAGGAGAAAACTGGTTTGTATCTCACTTTCTCCACTGATTTATTCCTGGCTGGTGGAGGGCCCCGAGGGTTTGGTGCTGCTCTCCCTGGGTTGGTTTTGGTGGGACACACTGGTGGGGATGGATCCTGCAAGCACCTGCCAAGCCCAGAATCCTGGCTCTGAGCCAGCAAAACCCAACATAAAGAAATCCATGGAATCCCAAGATGGATGGGGTTGGAAGGGACCTTAAAACCATCTCGTTCCAACCCCACCACGAGCAGGGACACCTTCCACTAGACCAGCCCTGGTGGGTCTAGCTCAGATCCCAGGGAGAGCTCCCAGCAAATCTCTTCCTGCTGCACTTCCAAGGGTCTGGCTGCTTGTTTGGAGCTCTGCTGGTCTCTGCTGGAGGTGGTTGGCACGTGTTGGTCCCGTGAGGCAGCGAATGGTCCTTGTCCCTCACGGTGCTCATGTGGAAACCACCCCCCTTCTGCTGCCTTCACTGCAGCTGGGAGGGGGGATACAACCAGAATAAAACCCCTAAAAACCCCTAAGAACACCCCAAAATGCTCCTCCTTCAGCTGGGTTTGGGGCTCACCCTGTGGCAGCACGTGTGGGTCTCTCCGTCTCCACGCCGCTGCGGGCAGAGAGATTTTGGAAAGAGATCCCTGGGCTGGATGGAACAGCCCTGAAACCCAAGCAGGATCCAAAAAAATGAAGCGGGAAGGCAGCTCTTTTTTTTTCTTTTTACAGGATTAATATCACATGATGGATCCATGAAAACTCTCTTCCCTGGCTTTTTGGCCAGTGAGGAGCCCACGGAGGAGTCCCTGCCCCGTGTCACGGGACGTCCCCACAGCAACTTTTTGCAAGGGTTTGAAATCCTCTGGTTTCCTCAGGTTTTTCTTTCCCCATCCATCACTCCCCCCCCCCCCCCCCCCCCCCAGACAGCTGTTTACATTTTGGAAGGGTTGCATCAATCCTATCAGAGCACAGCTCTTCTCCTTTGAACTCCTGCCTGGCACTTCCCGCTCGTGCCAAGGGTTGGGTCGTGTTGAGATGTCCAAGGGTGAGCTCTGATAACTCAGCAGAGGAGAGATGCAGCCAATTGAGTGACTTCTTATTTTAAGCCAGTTCTGTGGAAATTCGGTTCAGTTCATCCCAGTCAGGTCCAATTTGGATTAATCCTCCCCCAGGGATTTGCAAATGGCTCTGTGACCATTCCAGGCGTCCCTCACACCCTTTTTACTTTGCATCACTCGTGACCCCCAAAGCATCTCCCGGGGTTTTTCCTCCTGCTTTGCTGCACAGGAACTATGGTCGGTGCAGAGAAACCTCCCGAGGCCAATCCTTTGGCAGGAGTGGGACAGCAGATCCCAGTAAATCCAACTTTCCGCTGGTTTCCAGGCCAGGCAGTTGGAGGCAGGAGCAGCTGCTGCCGCTTGGTTTTCCATGCAGTGTTTTGACTTGGGAAATGTTGTGCTTGAGACCTCAGGGGAAGCACAACACTGGGCCCAGGACCCTTTTTCTGGTGCTGTTTCACCCCCCAAATCCCTTTGATCCAGCTGGTTCCATCGACCTGCTTCCAAATACCCCCTCTGGAAAACTGAGGCGAGAGGCAAATTTTGAGATTACAGAGGTTTTTCGTATTCTATTGAAAATGTATTTATTTTTCATGGAAAACCAGCTTGCCTTCCAGCTGCCTGGGAGAGTTTAGTTCCCAGCAAGGGATTTCCCCTGCCATGCCCTGGGCTGGGAGCAGGAGCTGCAGGGCTGGGACTTCTGCTGGGAGCATCCACTTCTCAGGGATCCCTCCCTCTGTGCTTACTCTGCTTTAAAGCACAGCTGAGCTTCCTGTCTGAGCTTTTTAGTCCCTAAAAAACTGACTTTCACCAACCCAGAAATTCATCTCGTCCCTTAAAGTTGTTGCTGCCCCCCCTGAAATGCTTTTTGCTCCCAAGTTTTATAGGGGAAAACCAGCTGGGAAATCTCTGTCAGGCAGCGTTTTGCTGGTGGAAGGAGCACTGCACAAACAAGCTGAGGAGCATCCACATCTCCACACCCCTTTGGATCCTCCTGCTGCTTTGATCTGTGTCCCAGCCATGTGTCCTCTCCCTCCTGCAGACCTCAAATGTATATTTTTGGGAGGGAAGAGGGAAGAATTAAAAAAACCCCTGGATTTCCCAGACACTCTTTCATCCAAGAGTGTTTGAGCAGGATTTATCTCCCTCCTGCAGCCCCCAAACTGTCTGACAGACACTTGGTAGACAGAGACGTTGGTGTTTGGACTCATCCCAAAATATCTTTGCTCTCAGCTGGGTGGGAAAAGGGATAATGCTCCACCAAGGACCTTCCCTTGCTCTTCCCACCCAGCTCCATCAGAGCTGACTGTGGAGATGCTCCTGTTCACAGATGCTTGGGATGGATTGGACAGGGAAGGACCTCCTGGGTCACATCTGCTGTGTCTGACACTAAACCAAAGCCCGGATTGATCTTTCCTGCTTGGAAAAAGTGGGAGTGAGGATGTGGCTGGTCCCCCTTCCCCCTGGAGCCACCCCAGCTGGCCACAAAACCACGGCCAGAGCTGAGCTCCAGCTGGAGCTGCCTTTGGGAATCAGCTCCAAAAGGTGCCACCAGCCCTGCGAGGGAGAGGATGGAGGGAGAAGGTGCCACCCTGGGGTGCTGATGGACTTCTCCTGTGTCATATATTTGGGGTGCTCAGCCCAGCCCAGAGGGACCTCAGTGCCAGGGGTGGCTGTTGTGGGGACACTGAGCCAAGCCCTGCGTGGAACAGGAGCCCCCACCGTGCCCAAGGACAGGGAAGAAAACCCTCCTTGGCAGTTTTTCTCCTGCCCCTTCGCCGTGGTTTCCCAGCCGGGCTCTCCTGGGCTAGCAGTGCCCGTGCCCGGGTGGGTGCAGGGCAAACTAAAGGCTCTGCCCAGCTGCCCCAGAGCTTTGTGGTGCCCTGTGGCATCGCAGCCACCTCCTGGGTGCCGTGGGCACTGGTGTCACTCTTTTCCACCCCAGGAGTGGCACCTGAGTGGGGACGGTGCCCAGCCGGGGGTGGCACCTGAGCGAAGGTGACACCCAGCAGAGGTGACACCCCACAGACATCGGTGACCCCTTGAAGATCTTCCATCCCCAAGCCCCCCCTGGGCCGAGGGGTCCCCAGGAGACCCCGGTGCGGCGGCACAGGGAGAGGACGCTGCCGCGGGGTTGGAATTCCCGGCTGGCACAGCTCTCCGGGAAGCCGCTCCCTAAAGGGTGCCGGGCCGGGCGAGGGCTGTCCCCGCTCCGGCCGCTCCTGCTGCACCTCCTCCAAGTCCTCTCGTCCCTCCCACTCCCTCCCAATGCTCGCCTCCTGTCAGGGAGCCGGGAAAGGCTGGGATAAGGAAAGGGCTCTGGGATAGAGGCGCTACCAGTCTGGCTGGCTGCCCCCGCGGATGCTCCGGGCCGGGCAGCGGGGCAGCTCCCATGGCCCTTCCCAGCGGGATGCTCCTCGCCTGCTCCCTCTGCCTCCTGCCCGGTAAGTGCCCTCTGCGCCCACCCCAATTCCTCAAACGAGGCGAAACCCAGCGGGAATAATTTATACTGACTTGGGAAAGGTGCTGGAGAAAGCCCAAGGTTAATGAGGTTCTTGGAAAAGTTTTGCCGGGAGCGGGAGGGAGGGAGGTGGGAGCCTTTGAGGAGGCTGCTTGGGAGGGATGGAGGTCCTTGATGGGCTCCCCAGGACCGAGCGGGCGGGTGGGCAGCGCCCGACCCCCCTCCTCGGCTGGAGGAACAGGATTAATTGGTGTTTTCCTGAAGCATCGGATAGTGGGGGGAAGAAAATCCCTTTTATTTAGACCCTTTTATTTAGAACTAACGTCGCGCCCCACAGGTGGTTCGTTCCGTTGCACAAAAGAAAATTGCTCGGGTTTAAGTAAATTAAGAGGGGTTTTAGGCAGTTTGGCTCCGGGAGCTGAGCCTGCAGCTTATCCCGTGCGGGACGAGCTGCCGGGGGCTGGGATGGGAGAGAGGATGGATTTTTATGCTCCTTGCCGGCTCGTTAGGGCTCTCTTCTTGCAGAAAAGTGTCCCAGCACCGGTAATTCCCGTTTCGATCCCGTCTGGCATCCTCCCGCACGCAGCCGGGCTCGGAGCTGCCAAACTGGGCTGAAAGTGGGGGGAAAAAAAAGCTTTTCCCCAAACCAGGAGCGCGGCCACGGGCTCACGCCTCCCCCAGCCAAGCATTCCCAAACATCCTGGTGGAAACGCGCGCCAGGCTGGTTGGG